GGGTTTAGGGTTTAGGGTCTAGAGGATCAAGGGGCTTAGGGCACTGCTCCTTTAAGGCTTGCAGATAGGGGTTTCTATAAGGGTTTTACAGGGGATTATGATTCCGGGGACTTCGAAAGTTGGAGCCCTTGTTGTATCTACTTCTAGCCCTAATTTAGGTGCTTATAACCCCACCTATAGTCTCCATTGTAGNNTACCTTATAAAGTCCTGAATATATATTTGGTTACACGGAAAAAAAGAACTACCATGGAGACTATAGGCATTTACTAAATCCCATGATCCTCTGAGATATGCATTGGTTCACGTTGTTGCTGTTTTCTTCATCGGCATCATCGCCGGTTCCAGCATGGTTGTGGTTGGGCCAGCAAACTTTCGTTACCTAGCTACATAAGTCTTCCATCCACAACAAGCATTGGGAGGGAGCGTGCAGTTCTCGTTACTGCTGCGTCTCGCTCTTCCCGCCTGCACTGGGCATCGCAGCTCACTCCACAGAGCTCTTCCTCTTTTCTGTCAGGATGCGGCCCTCAACCCTAAACCCTAACTGAGACAGCAATCAAAGCAGCCCCAAGATCTTAGAAGCCTTCTTCGTCTGGGAGTTGAGGGTGTGCTGCGAGAAGTAAAAAGGCAACCAGAGGCCGCGGCGTCGGGGTGAAAGTTCTCAGAAGAGCCCAATACCCCTTAATTAAGAAATATACTCTAAATCATAAGAGTAACCTCCCAACGATCCAAAGCAGATTCCACAAAATCCTCCTGAGCCGCCCCGAGCTCCAAACTAAAGATCCAGAATCCCTGCCCTCACCCCCGCCCTTGGTTCGCCTGTATCCCCTTCATGAAATGGTTCGGATTTAAGAAGGACATCCCAACCAAAGCATGAAACAGTGCCAGTGACGAATCGGGCAGAGAAACCATTGTAAAACCTCATAGGACCCTCTAAAAGCACCGAGTGCGCACCTTGACATCGCCCTTGAGGACGCCAGCCTGGATGGCAGCACCCATGGCAACGGCCTCATCGAGAGGTTTTGTTGTTCTACGGTAAGGATCTTTGATAGATTTGGGGTATAGGGTTTAATGTAGGGGCCTTAATAATTAGAATAGGGTTTTGGGGTATATTATACTATAGTTATACCGAGGAACCCCCCCAAAATAGTATAGGTAACTATGTAGGCCCCTATATTAATTAGGGTTTGGAGTTTATGGTTTCGGAGTTTAAATTCATTTAAGGAACAGGTCGCCAAAAAAAAGTACTAAAGTATGGTACTCCCAAACCCAGTCAAAGACAGGAATCGATCCTAAACCCTAAACCCTAAACCCTAAACCCTAAGCCCTGAGCCCTTTAGGGTTTGGAGTTTATGGTTTCGGAGTTTACGACTTCGGGTTGCTGGGTGGTCAGATACCCGCCGGGTAGCCTCTCGGACCGTGGTCTACTTGGAGGAGGAAGCGGGGATATAAGATGTCATAGGTAAGGTTAGGGTTGAGGGTTTAGGGTTTAGGGTATATCGGGTTTAGGGTTTAGGGTATAAGTATATATAGTCATCTCATGTTATCTCTATCATGTGTCTGTATACTTGAAACCTAACTTAAAGTGCCTGTCCTATGATGCTGCAAGTCGCCCCTACACCCTAAACCCTAACTTAAAGCCTAAACTCTAAACCCTAAACCCTAAAACCCTAAAGCCCTGAAGCCCTAAAACCCTAAACCCTAAACCCCAATCCGAAGCTTAACCCCCTGACACGACAGATCCCGTCTTCTCCTGAACCGATCCCGCCGATCTCGCTCCCTGCTTGGAGGCTCCCGGGACTTAGTATAGGTTTCAGGGTTTAGGGTCTAAGGATTTCGGGGATAAAGGTTTAGGGTTTAGGGTTTAGGGCTTAGGGTCTAGGGTCTCAGGTATAGGATTTAGGGCTTAGGGGTTTAGGTTCGAGTGTTTAGGGTCTAGGGTTTAGGGTATAGGGCTTAGGGTTTCGGGTTGAGTTAGAAGCACCTCATAAAACAGATCCTAACCGGGGTTATGATACTTCGAACTCTCTAAACAAACTACTTACTAAGTCCTCCAACCCTTCAAGTGGCCCCTGCCCAATCCTGAAACTTGAATACGGAAATGAGCTCGACAGTAATCAGCCGTCCTTGTTCTACCTCTGGCAATTACGCCGCGGAGCTCCTCCCACGACGACCCTACACCCCAAACCCCTAAACTCCAAACTCCCAACCCTAAAGCCTAAACCCTAAGGTGAATCAGGCACGCCAGCTCGGGAGCTCGTTGGAATCCAGAACAGCAGTGGTTCAGGATGCTGTCGCCGGCATCGAGCGTAGGGTTTAGGGTTTAGGAACCCGGGTCCTATGTACTGTTATGGGGGATACTTCCCTAAATCATAGTAGTAATTCCGAATATACCTATAGTCTCCATTGTAGTTGTAGAACCTTTTTGGGAATACCGTATAAAGTCCTTAATACATATTTGCTTAAACCAAAAAAGGGAACTACAATGGAGACTATAGGTAGAAACCCTACGCTCTACTATATAGCTACTTTGGACCCCTTTGGGGTCAGGATCATGGTCCGCGTTGTCCTTGCTGAAGCTGTTGATGCTTGACTTCCAGTGATTCGCTGCTTCCGCGTCGCCCACTGCTGCTCGGCAGGCGGTCTCATTGATACTGCCTGTCACAGCAAGCATTACCAGGAGCAACTGCCCTGCCAACTTAGCCTCCTTTCCAATATGCGTCGTCTCGGGCTGTTTGAGCCATTCCTCCGACAGGGCGCTGGCCTTGCCCGCCTTGTTGGTCACATCTGCACGTCGACAGCCAGGCTTCTGCTTGAAAATGCCGTCCGCGGTCGCGACAAGCAGGCGCAACTCCTCAATCGAAGTCTCGCTTCTCTTGGCCTTCTTGGTCGAAGGAAATCCTTTGTCGCCTGCAATTCGGGATCCATGCTGGAGCCCGAAACGTAGACTTTGCCCTGGCCCGCTGCATACTGTAGGGGCCCTTAATAACTAGAATAGGGTTTTTGTAGTATAGTCTACTACAATTATAGTAAGGAACCTGCAAAGTATCGTTGATGGTATAAATCCTGCATTACCCATAATAAGGAATATACCATAATTCACGATGTTTATAAGGTAATGCAGGATTTATGTCATCAGCAGTAGTATTGGTGATCATTTAGGCCCCTATTTTAAAGCTTCTGCCGCCAGACTTTCTTCGTCGGCTCCCGTTTAAATTTTGGGTTTAGGGGTTTAGGGTTTTGGGGTTTACGGTTTAGCAGGGTGTCGAAGTCCTGCGCGGCCACTCTGGCGGACGCAGATTCTTTGAATCCTATCATCAGCCGAACTTCCTCCCAAACCCCCAACCTCCTAGCAAGTGAACAGATATACCTAAAGCCCTACAACCTAGATCTGTACGAAGTCGTATCCGTAACATCCCCAGTAAACCCAAAAGTCAGAAACCCTAAATGTAGTATGATTCTCGCATCACTTCACTCCTTTTCTAGCTGTGTCTACGTTAAGGTTAGGGCTTTAGGCCTTAGGGTTTACACCGCCCAAAAACATGAAATCTGTCGCACCTCACAACCCTTGCTACCTAGTTTTGGTCGATCGCTAGATAAAAACATATCTATGTCCAGCTGTCGCTACATTGAGTGTTGCAAACCGCAAACCCATCCGACCTCGTCCGGGTTGACGGACTTGGATGGCTCCTTCTGGTAGACCTCCTGCACGATCTCAGTCACCTGCACGACGGGTGTCGGGGCTAAGTTTATGAAAATATAGGGCTTCGTGACACCACCTCTGCGTGTAGGGTGTAGGGTTTAGGCTTTAGGGTTCCCAGTTAGTGTGCACTTGAATACATCTGCTGTTCCTCACGACGAGCTTGCCTTATTGGTCCTTCGCAAGAAATGCAACAACGAGAGAAACCCTGTAAGGTCCTTGTACAATTACTATCCTCAACCCAAAGATGCAAGGGTCATGTGATCCGTCCATGGCCGGCCAGTCTAGCACCGGGTTGGGGGGGTTCGGGCTGACGTTGGGTTGAACAACACCTGAACCTGAGGTTGGGGTTGTTGGCCCCGTCCGTCTCCAAGCAAGGCGGGCAGTCTGAGCTCTGCATTCGGAGCTTGGAGGGAGATGAAAACTTGCACGGCACTGCTGTCACCACGTTCACGACGGAGCCGGCTCAGCACTGCCTTTACACAGCGGGCCTCTGGTTCTTCAATCAAATGGCACATCCGGACCTGGCTCTGAAAGCAGAGTCCTGCGACAAAAGGTGTGCTGTTGGAGAGAACTTGAGATCACGACCGATTTGCTTTCCATTTCCCAAAGGGTCCAAGTATTAATATGGTCGCTACTTTGTAGGTATTTGGGCCCAAAAAGTATAATCTTGGCTGACTTCTGAACCCCTCCTACAAGTTAAACTTTTTGCCTACCTATTATACTTCATATAGAAAACCAAAAAGTTGAAGTCCTAAGAGCCAACCAGAAGAATAACGCCAAGTAATTATACTATACTTCAACTTTTTACCCTTTGGGTCTTCCGTTGAACGACACAAGGTCGAAGTACGGCTCCTTTCCGCACAGAAACAGCGCCTTGAAAACGTCGCTACTCTGCGGCGCAGCAGGGTTTAGGGTTTAAGGTTTAGGGTTTAGGGTTCAGGGTTTAGGGTTTAGGGTTTAGGGTTCAGGGTTTAGGGTTCAGGGTTTAGGGTTCAGGGTTTCGGCTGTAGGGCTTAGGGTTCGATGACGTGCGTGCTTTGTTTCACAACCGCAGCAGTTTCAGGAAATGCTTTTGATGACGAAAAAGTCGCGTGCACAGCTGACTCGGGGCTCCACGAGAAAACTTAATGAAACTTGTGCTCTCGAAGAGATCGTTAATGACGGGATATGCCTGACATCATAATGCCAAATCATCTACACTTCGAGGCATAATACTCAATCAAGGAGTATAGGGAAGAATGCACGTTTGGTGGCAAGTCCCCTAAACCCTAAACCCTACACCCTAAACCCCTAAACCCTAAACCCTAAACCCGAGACCCTAAACCCTAGACTCTCGACCCTCCCAGTAAATATACTACATTAAAATACAGTGACTTAGGCACAAGCCTACAGCATACAATGTAAGTACATGAAGACAATGTGGGTTACCTGAAAACGACGGTCCTGAACCCTTAAAAACCATAACACTACGCACCCTGCAGGTCAAGTTTGCGGCTGAATCCTCCAAATAAACCACTTCGTTCTGAGTGACCATGCCGTAAAACCGGAACTCTTGGCAATATCACTGTTGGAATCTAGTGCAAGGTTCTGGGTTCAGAGACCTAGTATAGAAACCTGGTATAGAGTTCGCGGATTAGGCATGAGAGATCCAGGAATTTATGAAGGGTTCCAGCATGTAGGTAGGATTTTAGGTTTAGATGTCCGTGTTGAGTTTAGGTATAGAGTGAGAGATTTGGGCTTTGTATTCCGGCCACTCAGTCTTGAAATCTGACTGTCAGACCCTACACACCTCAGATCCACCCGACCTAAACCGCAAGCTCCTGTGCGAACCTATGACCTATCATACTCCCAACCCTCCATGTACCTTCTATATAGGGCCTTAGGGGCTCTAGTACCCTATATAGTAGGTAACTGGGGGGGGGGAGGGGCGGGGGGGGGTTAGGACTACTTGGACGATTCAGGGAACATGGCAAACATGCAGTTTAGAGGAATGAGTACCGTAATCACTTAAGGGTCCAAAGAGCTATATAGCATGTACAGTGGCCCTGAAGTACTACTATGCGAACCCCTTTGAGGCCAGAAATACATGTGTATATACATATACATATATATATATATATATACACATACATATATGGGGCCTTAATAATTACAATAGGGTCTTGGTGTATAGTATACTACGTATATTCAGAATAAGGAACCCTAAGGAATCATATAGGTAATTATTTGGGCCCCTATATGGGGGTTTCCGAAAATAGGGGGCCCTAATATAGCACCCTAAATAGTAGGATCCTTATTACAAGGACCCCTAAATAAGGAACCCTAAACCCTAAACCCTAAACCCTAAACCCTAATTTTCTGAAACTCCCATATTATGTACCAACATAGGTACTTGGGGCCGTCGACCCTCGGAGCCCTTATTAGGGTTTAGGGGTTTAGGGTTTCGGGGTTTAGGGTTTAGGGTTAAGGGGTTTAGGGGTTTAGGGTTTAGGGGTTTAGGGTTTTGGGTTTTGGGGTTTAGGGTTCAGGGTAGCCCCTAATACTACATGACATGGACCCTCAGGGGAAAGTTCAGAATTACTTGGAGGGTTGGGGGACTTAGTAAGAAGTTAGTTTATCGAGTTACAAGTATCATACCCAATAAGGATTCCTTTTGGGGACTTATAGCACTACTTATGACCTACTTGCTAAGTCCCTTCCGCCCGAAAACCCTATGGAGCCCTTGTAGACACTCTTATAGCATCCCTTTTGAAAGGAATCACCTTATAGAACCCCTTTAAGCCTTTAAGCCGACCCTCACTTGAAAAAAAAGCCCCGACCCACCCAGTAGGAGAATGTTGAGAAGTGAGGGCTTCCAGGTTTCCAAAGGTCGGGTTGTCCTCGTAGGGTTTAGGGTTTAGGGTTTAGGGATTAGGGCTTAGGGTTTAGGTTTTAGGGTGGGTGTGACAGCTGAGGCTTGGGTTTAGGGTTTAGTAGTTCGGCTTGGGATTTAAGTTTCGGATTTAGGGTGTGGTAATGTTTGGTATCTAGGATTATTTTGGGTTTACTGAACCGCTAAGCTCCCAGCATTTCTCCAAATCCGCCCAGCCTTGGGCATGCGTGTCATGCCACCGACGAGGAGCACCTGCATGCTGTTTAGGGTTTAGGGTTTAGGGGTTTAAGGGTTTAGGGTTCAGGGACAGGATAACTCTTCGGCTTGGACTGCGGGGCTTTGAAGTAACCAGGGAGATCAACGTGTAGATTTTAGATTGGTTAATTATTAAGGCACAGTTCCAGAAACAGTATTCAAGTATGGTAGGCACAAGTCAGGACTGTTCAAAACCGTGGGATCCAAATGGGTAGACTTTCACAAACTGTATAATTGCTTCTTCATACCGAAGTCCGACTTTGGACCATGTCTGTACTTAGGGCCCCTTGGGAAGGCTCATCTGCCAATGTCTTGTCTGTTCGATTTGAAGGTTTACGGCTTCTGTCTTTGGTAAGTTTGGCGGCACCACCCACCGTACATCGAAAGCCCTGAAACCCCGAAGCCGAAAAATTAGCCAACAGTGAACTCCTACAAACCGGAAACCTTCAAATCCCGAAACCCTAAACCCTGCAACCAAAAGTGGACTCCTACAAACCGGAAACCCTCAACGCTAAACCCTAAGCCCGCTACACCACCAGATCCTAAACACACCAATACCACACTCGACGACAGAAGAAGCTCCCTTAAGCTGTATCTACCTCTAGAGATCTACATAGTATGCATACTTCGGCCCGTTAAATGAATCCTATGTAGGTACCCTAAACCCTAAACCCTTGAACCCTAAGCCCTAAACCCTGTAGATCTATATAGCATACATACTTCGGCCTTTAAGGGATTCCTATGTAGGTGCTTTAAAGCAGGCCTTCCGATGTAGGTACTTTTTTAGGGCCCGACGTCTATCCCCGTATCAAGTCAATGGAGCCTGACAGTTTAGGGATTAGGGGTCTAGGGTTTAGGGGTTTAGGGGTTGAGGGGTTTAGGGGTTTAGGAGTTTAGGAGTTTAGGGTTTAGGGATTTAGGGGTTTAGGGGTTTAGGGTTAGGGGTTTAGGGTTTAGGGCCCTAGGGACTCTGGCAAAAATCGAGCCCGAGCCCCCTGCGGTGAACCTCTAATTCCCAAAAAACCCTACACCCTAAACGCAGCCCCTACCTAAGTACCCAGAAACCTACTGTTAGGCCCTCGAAGTAAGGGGCTATAACCTACTAATTATTTTGTAGGGTTTGGGGATACACGCAAAGATTAACCCCTAAACCCTGTACATACCCGTCCCTTAAAGCCTAAACCCCTAAACCCCTCTACAGCCCTAAACCCCCAAAGCCCGAAACCTTCTAGATTAGAACCCAGAAGCATCCCCAAACCCCCTATACCCCTGAGCCCCGACAAAAAAGCCTATCGAGTAATTCAGCGCTGAGCGTCCAAATCTCCAACCCCAAGGCGATTTAGGGTTTAGTGTAAACTCTATCCCTAAGGCTCTAAGGACTCATATTCAAAGGCTTTTGGGCCCACAGACCATACTGCACAGGGCTTTTGGGCTACTGCGAGCCTAAGGTACTAGAGGGGGCTTAAAAAATTAGAAGAGGGTTTAGGGTTTAGGGTACCCTTCAGGGTCCAAGTACGCAAATTGAGTTTTTGGAAAATTGTGGTATAGTCAAAGTAAAGAAACGTAAGGAACACTATAGGTGATTATTCAGGCTTCGATACTACATCAAATCCTACACCTGGACTCAACCATGCCTCCAACCCAAGACATAAAGACACATGTTCAAAACACACCGACAAACCTACTGAGTAAACCCAAAGTCCCAAGCACCAAGAGATCCCTTCAAGGCGACCCTGGTGTCGAACCCAACCTTATGCTAGCCCTTAAAGGATCCCTTTAAAGGAACCCTTTAACAAAAACGGGCCCTAGGTCTCGCAGGCCTCGGTGATGTCCTTGGGCTCTACGCCAGCATCCTTCAATGTTTAGCCCTTTAGGGTTTAGGGTTCAGGGTTTAGGGTTTAGGGTTCAGCTGTATAGGGTTTTAGGTTTAGAGGTTAGGGGGTTTAGGGTTTAGGGTTACGGGTCCAAGTACCTAAAAAACATATACTCCCCCAAATATTGACCTAGATAGCTACTATCCGTAACCAAAGTACCTAATTATTGAACTTAGGGGCTGAGTATCCTAGCCCAAAAAAAGTTAACCTTTCCAATTATAGTAGGATTATATAAGGCCCAAAAGGTTCAAGGTTACCTACTCAGCCCCTAATTCCCAGACCCCCAAAAGGATCTAAAAAATAGATCCCCTAATTAGGGACCCTAACTACTCAAGGGTACTTTATAGGAACCCCCTTACAGGATCTATTTTTTAGATCCTTTTGGGGGGTCTGGGTTATTGGGTCTTGTGGACCTTCACGGTTCAGGGGTTTTGATGCACCCATGGGGTTTCCAAACCTGTGTAGCTGTAGGGTGAAGGGTGAGGCTTTTTCGGGGGTTTGGGACCCTAGTAAACTTACGAATTTGGGGGTTCCTTCATTCTGAGTGTCCTTCATCTTCTCGTGGTTCAGGTAGGGGTGAGAAGTCTAGGGTAGGGCTTATGCAGTGGCTTTCAGTTTCATGGTTCTGCACCCATCTCCTTCTAGACCCCTTTACGGTTTAGGGCTTAGGGTTTAGGGTTTATGGCCTTTCTGGAATCCTCCAGGACTCGAATAGAGCCCTAGTAGATCCTCAAAAGCTTCCCTTGATGGAACCCCCTGGTCCCCACAATCCTAAACCTTAAACCCTAATAAACCCTGAACCTTCAACCCTTATGAACCCTAAACCCTGAGCCCTAAACCCTAAACCCTTATAAACCCTGAACCTTAAAATCCCAAACCCTTATAAACCCTAAACCCTAAATCCTTAACCCTGAGCCCTAAATCCTAAACCCTAAACCCTTATAAACCCTGAACCCTAAACCCTGAACCCTAAACCCTAAACCCTAAACCCTAAACCCTAAACCCTGAACTCTGAATCCTTTAGGCAAGCCCCAAGGTCCTTGTTGCAGGCGAGGCAGGGGGCCCGCGTCCTCTGCAAGAAAGAGTCGACGATCTGCTCGAGCTTCCTTGGCTTTCGGGCTTAGGGTTTTGGCTTGAAGGTTTAGGGTTTAGGG